GCAGAGTCCCGGTGCTTGTGTGAGCCATAACTACCATGGCAAAAACCTTCCAGAAATTCCCTTTCAGGTGCTGAACAAGAGCGAAACTATCAAGATCACCTCCAGCTTGATCTTGGCATGTGTTGCACATTCCTCTTTTCTCTGTACTCTGGCAAGGGCATTAGCATCCTTTTATAGGTATGCTGCTTGCTTGGAACAGTTAAGTAGCTCTTCCAAAACCTGATTGTGGGCTTGTCGCTGCCAGGTGAAGTTAACTGTGTTAAGGAAAACTTATTTTCTCTCTTAAGCCTTGTCTGGGTGAACTCCAGGCAACAGCACTCAGTGGCTCAAGGACCTCAGCTGGCTCCTGGTGTCCCAGCACAGGTTAGGAGTGGAGTTACTCGGAGAGAGCCAGCAGGTTAATTACAATGGCAAGAGCCTGGAGGTTTTTCAGGAATATGGTGCTTTCTCTGCTTTCAGAAATCTTTAAACCAAAATAAGGTACCTTCCTAGAAGAGAGGCTGTAGTTTCAAAATGATATAGAAATTCCCAGGTGAGTTTTTCTGCCCTGCACTGTGCAGAAGGTCACACGTGATTATTAAAATGGTCCTGCTGGCCTCAACATCTGTGAAAGTTTGCTGCAGTTCCTTTGAATAGCTAGTCAGCTTAGTAGGAAGTGACTTATTTTTTTCTCCCCTGTTGGCAAGTTATCAGAAGAGATCAGACTAATTGCGTATTTATCTGGAATTACAGTTATGAATCTGCTCTAATAAGGCAGTAATTCATATCTTGAGTGATTTATGGCCTGAGCCTGAAAGCCCTCTGACTCCTTTGACTGCACTGGGATTTCCCAAGGCAAGGTCATTGCGGAATTTTGCTTCCTTGTGCTGCTGACACCCTGATGGTGTGCAACCAGCACCTTCACAGTGCCACTTATTTGTTAGTATTTATACAAAACATCACAAGCAGACCCAGAATAAATGCAATTTGTGTACTATTTTCTTATTCACCTACTAATTTAACAGCTCCCAAAGTCCTCTCCCGCCTTACCCCACTGTGGTGTCTAGATGGCTTAGGAGGAGTTTTAGGAGGCAATTCTTCACTCTGGAACTTGTGCTGTTAAAATTCATTTAGCTTCAACAAAGGAGAGTAACGAGCTTTTATAGTCCCTGTGAAGTAGTTTTAACCTAGGACTCAAAAGACAAAGACTGCTGTTGAATAACAATATTTATTTAGCATTTTAGCATTTAAATCTTTTTCTATTTGGATTTGTCTTTTGAACTGGAGGCATAAGTTCCTCTATTTGCCTGCAAACCTCTTTTTTTTTTTTTTTCATGTTTCACTGAATCCCCAGAAAATCCTCAAATATTCTTGCAAATCTCAAAGATACTATGGCGTTAGCCCCCCCTTCCTCCCCATTTAGACCTTTGAAGGCTGGTGTGACTAGAATGATTTTGGAGTTACAGCTCAGAGTCTGAATAAAAAATGAAGGGAAGCATTTTGCAATACCGTAGTCAGTACAATAACTAATTACTTATAGATTTTAGGTCACATTTGAAAAGACAAATACTGAAATAAATGGATAATCATTTGGAGCCACCACTAAGAGTTTGTTTAAATACCTTGAGTTAAATTCAGCTCTGTGTCACAGCAGAGCAGCTGCCTGCACCAATGCATGCTCTAGGTTCGTGACAGTGCCAGTGAGAGCCAAACTGGCCCCTTTGTGGAGATCAGAAACACTTGTGGCTCAGGCTTGTGAACTGCACTGGATGATTGGTTGGGCTTTTCCTGGACCATGCCAGTGCGAAAAGAGTTAACCAAGCAAAACATGACCGATGCTGACACCAAGCAAGACAAAAAAAATGTCTGAGTGTTTTGAGACCAGATACTGCCTTCTACCATGATGTTTAGCAGAAAAAGCTAAGAAATGTGCTGGCAGATTTGTGGTGATGTGATCTAAAACATCAGAAGACTTCAGAAGAGAAGGATGAAAATACAGTTCTATATGATATGATTAGTTTAATCTTTAGATACAGCCAGCATGTGTGTTAATTACCTGTCTGTAATATGAGCAGAAAAGTAATTCCTTCATTGCATCTTTTAAAATGATGTCTTTAATGTAATAAGTGCCTTTTTTTACTTTTGCAACTGGAATTGTCAGTAATTTTGGTAAGGAGAGGTGTGTTATGGATGCATCAGGCATAAACTTCAGGCATTGGAAACCTGAAGAACTGGCTTTTAGTTAGTAAATATTTTGCTCTTCAGCATCTCTGTGTGCCTGAATGGGGCTTTGAATCGCGTGTGACTTCTGTTGAGGATACAAAAACTGCATTCAGCATCTCACCAAACTCCAGGGGCAACCTTCAGCCTACTCCTTCATGTCATTTTCCTGAGGTTTGACAATAATGCCAATATCAAGACATGGAAATGATTAGACAAACACTCTATTCATTAACACACATTCTCAGCAGGATCCTCCAGGACCTAAAGCTCTGATGCTGCGAAATTGGCACCTTGCTGCAGGGCTGAGTTTTCGGGATCCAACTGTCCATGGAAGAGGTGTTGGCTGGGGAAGCAGCAGCCTAGGTGCCTGCCTGTGCAGTGGGCTGAGAGGGATGGCACATGCCTCCTCCCTTCCCAAGGGGCATGAGATGAGAAACCTCTCTTCAGTTGCTTCCCTGTGGATTTTGGTAAATCCTTCCAGCCACAGCATGTGTCCCACAGTGCCCGGCTGTTCCCCATTCCTTCACAGCTGACAGAAGGCCCAGTTTTCTCCCAAAAAGGAGAAAAGTTTCGGTTTGGTGCCAGACAGCCTCTATGAAATGTTCATCTTCTTGGAAAAGTAGTGCTGGGTGTGTTGGAAATGATGTTTTAGGGCTCAAGAAAAGATTTGTGTTCTCAAGGGACTCTGCTAACTTACTTCAGAAATACATGTGAACCAGTAAGAAGGGAAGACAAACTACCTGAATCCCCCCAGTTCTCCCCACCCCAAATCTCTTCAGATCACAAGGAACGGTCAGGAACAGGGATGGGAGCAACTGGAAATAACATTATTCCTAAGGGAAAGTGTCCCTTTTTAGTTAATTGTATCCCTTTTATCCATGACAGTGTAATTGCATTTTGCTTAACTAAGTCTTTTTAATTGGTGCTGGGTGTAAATGATAAGCAAAGCTGCATCATTCCTTTTCAGCTGTCACAGACATCTCTTTTAGGGTAGTGCAGAGACTTACAAGCTGGGACCTAATAGCACTGAGCTGGGTATTTGGGGGGAGATGATATGGCCATGCAAGGCAGCATCCACACCTCAGGACTACATCTTTTTGTAGGTGCAAAAGGCTTTTTTGCTGCTCACCAACTATCCCATGGTGATTTGTGGCACCCTTTCTGCACCAATGGACCTTCCCTTAGACTGGAGAAGTGGACACATGGAGCGAAAGTGCCCTCCAGACCTGCTGCCTTGGGGTCCCAGTGCTGGGTTTCAAGCCCCAAATGCCACTGCTGTGAGTTGTATCCTGCCCCCACAGTGGTGAGGCTGGGGTTGAGCTGTGCAGCTGTCCATCCAAGGGGACACCTCAGACATGCAGGCAAAATCTGGGGTTTTACCTTAGAAGATGTGTTTCTATCTATTAAGAGTGGACAGCAAAACCTGCACAAGTGTCCCAACTGCTCAGCAGTCAAACAGTGAGGCACAGGAGACTGCATCAGAAAAGTATTTTCCACTCCTTTTTTTTTTCCAAATTGCTTTCTGGGAGGACTGGGAGTAACTCCACAGCTGGAGTTACTGAGGACTGAAACTCCCACAACCTAAGTCATGTCCTCAAACCGAGCTCACTGCTCTGCTCTTGGGCTTGGTGTCTTGTTGCACGTGCCATCAGGATGTTTAACAGAATAAAACACATTTTTGTCCTTCCCTGCAACACATGTGGGGTATCATGGAAAATCTCTGGCTACATCACCAGGCCCCTGTGGCTGCCACTGCCCTCCCATTCCTGGGATCACAGAATCACAGAAAGATTTAAGTTGGAAAGGAACTTAAAGATCATCTAGTTTCAGTCCCCTGGGCAGGGACACCTTCTACTAGACCAGGTGGCTCAAAGCCCCACCCAACCTGACCTTGAACACTTCTGGGTATGGGGGAGCCACAGATTCTCTGGGCAACTTGTTCCAGTGCCTCACCTCCCTCATAGTAAAGAATTTCTTCCTAATAGCTAATATACACCTACTCTCTTTCAGTTTAAGGCCATTCCCCCTTGCCCTATCACTACATGCCCTCATCAAAAATCCCTCTCCAGATGTCTGGCAGGTATTTGGAAGGTGCAAAAGCCTCTCTCTTCTCCAGGCTGAACAGCCCCAACTCTCTCAGCCTGTCATCAGAGGAGAGGTGCTCCAGCCCTCTGGGAGACCATCTTCGTGGTCTCCCCTGGACTCGCTTCGGCAGGTCCGTGTCCTTCCCATGCCGGGGGTCTCAGAGCTGGACGCAGTGCCGTAGATGGGGGTCTCACAAGAGCAGAGCAAAGAGGGATGCGCAGGAACCGCGATTCCCCGTGGGATAAAGCAGCGGGGACGAGGAGGCAGGAGCAGCATCCGGGCTGAGCCGAGCCGAGTCGATGCCGCGGACCTCCCGCGGTGGCTTTGCGGAGCGGGCGGCGGCCCTTGAGCTCCCCTTAGTGCCGGGAAGGAGCATTTGAGATAACCGGGAGCCGCGGGCGGGGGTGGGGATGGCCGCGGGGACGTAGGTGGCTGATGGGTCCTGGGGCGGTACCCGCGGCTCATCCTGCAGGTCCCACCGCGCCGCTGGCATTCCGTCGGGATGTGCCCAGCCGTTCTCTTTGATTGGAAAACTTTATTTATTGAAAGTAAATTGCATCAATCGCATAGGAGCCAGGAAAGCCCAGTTCAATATTTTCTCCTTAATACATCTACAGATGTATGTGTAATTTTATTTATCTGTTTATTTGTTATTTATTTAATTATTTATTTTAACGCCAATCAATAGCTTATTCATTTCTGATACACCATGATTTGATATGTTTTTTATTTGTCATCCTTTTGCTTTACTGGATCATCTAATTTCTAAAGGTATTCAATGCTTAGCTTTATACACCAGATAAGCTAAAAGGTATTGCTCCTGGAGACTGGTTAGGAAATACTGACAGAGAAGGCAAGGGACTTGGCTAAGGTCAAAAAGAAGGGCTATGCTAAACCAGGATAGTACGGTACTTAGATCCCAGGCACTTATTTTTGCACTTTAACCTGTGATCAGCATCATTTCTGGAGAGTATTTATACTTGCATGCCAGAGAGTTCATCTGATGATTTCTGAGCATCTGCTGTCTTGGGTGTATACACTCCCTGGGGGGTTTAGGCTCAGGTTCACAATCCTACTGTGATGAAGATGGACTAGTCAGCTCAGCTGCAGAAACTCCCTGTTTCTGCACACTGAGCCTCTTCTCCTACTGCACTAACCTAACGTGGACCATCTCCCCTCTTGTGTACTTAGAGGTCACACACTTGTAAGCTCCTGCAGGTGAGCTGATGTCAGGTAGCTGGAAAAGCTGTGAACTGGCTCACATGCCTGAGCTCCAATTGTTTGGTGACAGCTGGGATGTTCCAGGTTACCTGAGGGTCTTGCAACCATTACTGATTTATGAAAAATTCAAATCTCTTTGTCAATACTTTTATGACCTGGTAAGGAGACTATATGCACAGCCTGACAAAATTGGGTTTGCATCATGAAGAAAAGCCCAAGAGAGAGTAGAGGTGGCAGCGGCTCCCAGGGCAGCTTCTGTGTCCCATCAACTGCACTCCACTCCAGCATCCTCGCTGTGGCCACAGTTGTGTGAACCCCAGCTGTTCTTTGAACAGTAGATAATTGAACTTTCAGACCCACTGCAATTTACTTCGTCAAGCCAAATTGTTCCAGTGCCTTTGGAAGATGAAGTAAACAAAAAAAATGCTGGTCAAGAGAAAGGATTATGCACTTTTTTTAAAGAGACCCCTGTAAATAGTGGGCATGTGTTGAGTTGCATGGTTGCCTTGTTGGAAATCAAGCTTTAAGGCACAGTTCAAGCAGCACTTGACATGTAGCTCACTCATCCCAAGAGGAATGAGCTACCCTGTTGAGATCCTCTTTGCTCTCCTGCTGCTCGTGTAGGTGACATTGCTGTATGCAACCACCCATGCCAGGCCTGGGGATGTGGAAAGTTGTTGTGGACTTACCTCCACCAGCTGTGAAAGCAGAGACTGCACGGCTGAATCCCAGCATTCGGCAGACTACAGCAGCCTCTTGCAAGGTCCAGTGATCATCACATATTGTTCCCCATACCCCTTGGTATAAGACTTCCACACGGCCCCTCCTGCTTCCTCCCACGATCCGTATATGATTGGAGTCGGCTGGCAGTTTAGGGGAGAAGAAAATAACTCTGTGGGTCATACAGACATAAGAACCACAGAAGCAGTGACCACACAAACCAGAGGGATGTTCCCATCTCCGTGGCTGTAGCCACAGTGGGACTAGGTTACTGGTACAATTCAACCCCCTCCTGCATCTGGAGACAGCAGGCTGCAACTCAGAGCACAGACCCCTTGGTTCTGGTAGCTGTGCTGTGGGTTAGCCAGGGTGAGCAGAGGGGAATGTTGGTCCTGATCTCAGGTAGCTTCAATACCAGAAGGCAAGTGAGAGAAGAAGTGAAAGTCCAGTACCTTCTCCCTTTTCACCTTTGCTCCCTTTTGCTCCTGGGGAACCTGTTCCAAATTAAAACAAACAAACAAACAAACATTTGACAGCTGCTTACGAAAAAATCTAGTTATTGTCTTGTTCGGAATACTTGTATGAGTCAGAGATGTGAAGACTCCCTCCCATTGTGGACAATGAAAACCCTGAAGTGAGTAAGGGTATGTAAAAGAAATGTGGCAAGAAAAGTATGAGAATGTACAGCAAAGTTTTCCTAATGTGTGACGCAAGAAAAGGGTCAAAATCCCATCCACTCACATGTGCAAAATGTATCTCATTCCCACTGCTACCTGTAAAATGACATCTCTGATAGCCTTTGGGCTCTCCAGAAGCAGGCACAGTATCTCCTAAAGTACTTGAATGAAGATCTACATCATGGGGTTTGTTCTCCAGGGACAGCAGAAAGTTGCTCCCAACAGTCCTCCACATTTCTGAGCAGCATCTCGGTCTCGAGAGTAGGGGTGTTTGAAAAAAATCCAATGAGCTCTTCCTCCAAAAGTTACCTCCAGAAAGCCTTTATTTTGTCTCCTTCTGGGGACCAGAAGATGAGACCCACCCAGAGGGCAGTGCTTGTCCTTGAGCCAGCCAAGTTACAATTTTCTCCTCTTCCAGAAGCAAAGCTCCAGAGGAGGAGTGCATGGAGAAGCCTCACTTACGACCTGCTTTATTTTATTTCTGAGGATTCCTTTACTATTCTGTGTGAACAATTAAAAGAAAAATCATATGTAGCACTGGTTGCTTCCCATGGCCTGCTATAACTACTGTTTGGGGTTTTTTTTTGACTACAGGTCTTATGGTTTTTGGAAACCCTTGTGATGGGAAGGGGGGGGGGTAAAGAACGAGAGTAGCTGTAGTGTTGGCCCTTTTGAACAACTTTTGTGTCCTGCAATTAGCAAGGTGTAGTTAAATAGCCTCATTATTAGGTGGTTACAATTTTGTGTTCTTGAGTGCCATGTTTATCTGGGATTTATCTCCATGACATGGGATGCTGCAAGATGTCTCTGCACAAGGTAAAAAGGGACACAGCTTGTTCCAGTTTTTTGTAAGATCAGTGATTTGAGAAAATCTAATGCATCTGTTTACTTGCATGTCTTTTAGCACACCTCCCAGGGTGTACATGTGACAGTCTGCACATTCCTCTTCTGGGAAGGCTAATCTGTCTGTTGAGTTCCTCCAAATGAGCTCTGTAACACATCTCAGAGCACCTTGTGCCAGTCTGAGATCTACAGTCCTGAACCCAAATGCACCATCAGCTCCACAGACCCCTTGGCAAACAGTCTTACCAGACAATCCTCGGTCTCCCTTGGCTCCTTTTGGTCCCGGTTCTCCTTTTTGACCCTGAGTGCCAGAATCACCTTTGCTTCCTTTTTGACCAGGTAGGCCTTGGATGCCTGGGTGTAAAGCAAAAAAGTAATTGCCTTTGTATCTTCCCAAGGAAAGAATGTATTGATGCAGAAAGGTGGAACATGGCATTTAAAGTGCTTTGCATCATCAGAGTAAGTTATGCTGTAAAACATGGGTTTACCTTTTGGGCCCTGGTCTCCCTTTTCTCCCTTTTGCCCTGGAAGACCTAAGATCATCAAAACAAACAAACATACATACACTTATAAAACTAATATTTATACATTTATAAAAGCTTATGCAAACTAGTATTTATGCAGGATTTTAGTTTATCTAGTTTAGGTGTCTATTCTGTAGAATCTATCTCTGAATTGGGTGTCTTATTTCACATCATACTCAGTGCAGACCATGTCAAAAAAGAAAATACAGGCAGTGGAGAAACATCTTCTCCTGAAGTAGATCAACTTCTGGTGATTTATTTCATATCCTAAACTCCACTGATGGCATAGAGACTCTTCCTCCAGTTGGACCTTCACTAACCATATAGACAGCCTAGACATGTAAATTTAGGTGCATCAGACATATGCAAGCGTGTAAAGTTGGGCCAGGTGACCCTCATCCCTGTCATTCAGCTGTCAGTGAAGGTAGAAGGGTGCAGCACTTGGACCTTGGTTACATCCTGAAGGCCATGAGGTTGCATGCACTATATAAATTCAGGATTTTAAAGGGCTTATTCAAGAGAAGTACACCAGAATAGGTTTGTACAGCAGAATGTCACCCTGTTGTTTGGGTGCCTGGGACAGAGAGGTGACCTTTTTCAAACGGAATGTCACAGAAAAGGCCTCGTTTGTGTGCCCTAAGTTGGCCTCTGAAGACACTTCATCCTGCAATGCTACAGAGGAGTCCAGAATGGATGCCTCCTTCCCCATCTTCCCTCTAGCCAGTAAAATTTGTCTTTAACTCCAGATTAGGGAGGATGTTGTTTAGTTCATCTTAAACTGATGCTTTGTGCATTTTCTATTTATACAAAAATTCAGGCAACATCACCTCCTCACACATGTTACAGAACAACTCTCTGGTAAACAGCCACCCCCCAGCAGCCTGGCAGAGGCCCAGGACTGCCATGGCATCCTGGGATGCACTGGGGCTCCAAGAACAGGACTCAACTGATCTCCTCCTTTCCCATGCCTGCATATTGAGGATTGTTGACCCAAAACCTGTCTTATTCTCCTTTACCTCTTACTCCTTGTTCTCCTTTTTCACCTCTGAGTCCATCAGTGCCTGCTATTCCTAAAATTAAAAACAAATCAGTAAGGGTGAAGCCATCATACAAAGTGAGGCCAGACTAAGAGCTCAATGAGTTATAGGTTTGAGTAGTGTTATACCTGAGCTACCTTTGGGCCCCTGGTCCCCCTTCTCCCCTTTCTGACCAGATCTGCCTTCAGGGCCAGGACTTCCCACAGTTCCAGGTCGTCCAGGTACACCTTGAGGTTGAGTGAAAGCAGCACATATGAAATGTAAAACAAAACTTGAAGGACATAAGAAGAAAGACAGTTCAATCACCATCCCCTGCACTGTACAGACTGAGCTGACCTTATGAAGGCAAAACAAATGCTGGGTCTGTCCGAATCGCAACCCTCCTCTGGCAGCACTAATCTTAGTGCAGCAGGGAGTGATGCTGTGCAGTGAAAGGCTGTATGGACCCAGGTCCTTGCGTCTGTCAGACTTGCCATGCACAAGTGCTTTCCTAACAGAGCAGCCAATATCTACCCTTGCATGAGCACACACATCAGGAAGGAGACACCGCCCTCCACAGCTCAAGACCCTTCTTTCCCTCTCACTGCACAGTGAGTGGGGCCTGGATGAGGCAGCCAGGGCTGCAGCATGAGTTTGCACAATGTTGGAACATTTTCATGGTTTCTTCATCTAATCATCATCTCTTACCCAGGCTGGGATCTAGGCTGGCTGCAGTTTTCTTCGTCATGAAGCACCATCTAAAAGAGATCAGTCCTATATCTCTAGAAGAACCTTCACCTTCTGTACTGCTTACCTGCCTCTCCTTTCTGCCCAGGAGGTCCAGGCTTCCCTGTGGTACCTGCAACAACATCCTGACATCAGTGCTGACAAGGCTTAGCCCAATGCTTCAGTTAGGGCAGCCCTGCACCACAGCATGTGAGTGCTGATGGTGGGTCACACTATGGCCTCTGCACTTACCATTGAAACCTGGTAGTCCTGGGACTCCCTGTTGACCCTGAGGACCTGTGGGTCCATGTGACCCAGGGTCTCCCTTCTTGCCTGTGTCACCTTTCTGTCCTTGGACACCTATCAAACAGCACAGTACACATGTATAAATTAAAAAAAAAAACAAACAATTGTCTCTGCAGCCTGTGGAGCACCTCTGTCTAGCCACACCAGTAACAAAGTTTGGCCTCACACTTGCCATCATTCAGTGGCATTCCTGTAAAGCTGCAGAAGAACAGGGCTGGTCTTTTGGATCTACCTCTGACTCTGTCAGACTGTCTGGGCAGATATTTGTCTGACCTGCTGTTAAAGACTTGCAGTGGTGCTGTGATACCTCTCCAGTCTATTCCTTAAGCTATCCCTACCACTACAATGGTTTCTCCTTTAGTTAAATATCCTTTATTGCAGTCTGCATCCTTCCCTTCTCCTAGCCACAGTGGAGATACAGGACAGCGCATTCCTGTGCTTCCAGAGTTATCTCCCCTTAGCCTTCTCTTCTCTCAGCAGGTGATAAGCATGCTCCAAAAGAGCTCAATTACTTAACAGTGCCTCACTTAAAGTCTTACATCTCCTTCATCTTTCTGCTCTAGAATTATCCCGAAGTTCTTGCCTTTAGGTTTCCTTCTGCAATCACTTTTCTCTTCTGGAGCAACTTGTGCTAATGAGTGCACTGGTGCATATGGGATCTGATGGAAGATCTGAGGAAGCTCTTATCAATCTGTCCAACTGTCCTCCCTGCTCTGCACCACACACATCATCTGCTTTCTTTTCCTATCTTGCTTTCAGCCCATGTGGGACCACAGAGTAACAGCTATCCTGGAGATGCCCACTAATGCATGTTACATGGGAGAAACACATTGCATAACTTTTCTACTTAAGGTGTATAAAGTCAGACTTATGTAAGATATAAAGCTCTCAGAAAGAAGTTTCACTAAAATGACGACTAACATCCACATGCTTGTGCATATAAATTATATTGTATTATTTTATATCATGAAAATCCTACTGCAAACATTGTTGCTTTAATCTAGGCGTGATAGATAGGCTGATAATTGAATATCTGTGGCTTCATTAGAAAAAGGTCACTCTATAAAAATCTTCCATGGTGCAGAGTCAACATTTTGCATGACCCCTTCCCCCAGCCCTTCTTTGGGAGCTTTGCTGAAACATGACACGAAATCAAACCCCTTCAGATCAGGTTGAGTGTCCTGTTTATCCAGGACACTCAATGACTGGCAAGCCAGTCAATGGCTATGTGGTCAGGGCTATGTGGATTTTTATGAAATACTGACCTATGAAGCCTTCTTCTAGTGTTTCATGTAGAATGAGTTTAAACAGAAATACATGTGAGAATCTTAAGTAGTGAAGAAGTCTTACCTGGAACTCCCATCTGTCCTTTTTCTCCTTTCACTCCTGGCACACCACTTGAACCAGCAGGACCAGGAGCTCCTTTGCTCCCCTTCTCGCCCTGTGGTCCATGTAAGCCTGCAAGGACAACACCACTTTTCTGATGCTCCATTGGATGCAGTGCCTAGTGAATGCCAGCAGCAGAACATACAGCTCATCCGCAGGCAGGAGCCAAACTCCCCTCTCCATGCACTTGACAGTGTGAAATTGGCCCACTGTGACTGTTGCACATTGACTTTTAAAATAAGATTTTTTTTCCAGCTAAGTTTTGCTTTTGCTCACATTAGCTCTATATGGGCTTATATTTCCTTCAATGACATTCTTACTTACTTACACGTTCACTGAGGGCAAGATTCCCCATAAAATCATCCATAAAGCCACTTTATGTCCATCCATAGAAGTAATTCAGATTTCAGAAAAGCCTTACCCTGGATTCCTTGGTCTCCCTTTGTCCCCGGTGGTCCCCGTAGCCCTGAGATATAAAATACATATATCAGCTGACACGCATCATCTATTCCCAGTAATGGTTGAGAAGAAGAGATGAATTTTTTAATCATCCTTCATGCACCAGTTTTGGTCACCAATCTTCAGCTGGCAGGGACCAGCACAACCGCTTGGGTAAAGTCCTTGGAGCTTAGCTGAGTGCATGGCTGGGCAGGGGCCAGCTGTCATCTAGCCAAGCCCAGCTCATGGGGACCATTGGGGAGGTCTTCCATGAAAGTGCACTGAACTATTGGGCTCTGATGTGTAATAAACACTGTTTGGCAGGAGGTGCTGTTTCAATGTTGTAAGTGAAGCCAGGAAGATATGAAAACATGATTTTTAAAAAAATTATAATTTTTTTTTTTTTTTTTTCAGAAAAGCTCATCAGTGTAGCCAAGAAGTAGGGATGGATGAGCCACAGACCTGACCCGAGAGGGGCTGCATCTTAGATCATCATCATAGAAGCGTAGAAACTGTTGCCTAGTTCGACCTCTGCTCAAAGTGGAGCCAACATCAGATCAGGACTTGCTGCATCCTCACAGTCTGGAGACATTTATCTCCTGCAGCAGATATAGTTCTACCCAAGCCCCAGGTACCCAGGGCAACAGCTTGTGCATGGCTGTGGAGAGCAGCCCTTGTGCCCAGCTCATTCCTAAGCCTGTGCCATCGTTTTCCTAGGGACAGGGTGGGCAAGGTCCCATCTCTGTCACATGCACTGTTCAGCTGTGGCTCTACAGGGCAGGGACTGAGGAGGTCTCCCTGAGTTGTCCTGGAGTAAGCTGGACAGCATGAATTGCTGTGTCTGGGGCAGAAAGCTCAGCTATCTGCTGATTGTGGGATGCACATAAACTCCCTCACTGGTCCTCTCTTGTGTCACATGGAGATTTGGGATGGTTACTGCAGATAATGATCAGGTACAGTTGCTCCATCACCCCTGAGCTTTTCTGGTGGGGTGTCAGTGAGGAGGCAGAGACAAAATGCTCCTCCGTGGTGGTTACCAACCTCTGCGGGAGCACTCGGGCCAGCCAAGGCTCCTGGAGGATCAGTCAAAAGGTACAGCAGGTCTCCTCATGGCCAGGGCTTTGGGTGTGTGCACATTGGGTAGGGTCTGGGTCTAGAAACTGAAATCCCAAATCCTCACTTAAAGTCTCTTAGATGAAATAAAGAGAAAGATTTAAAAAGGAAAAGTTGCAGCTCATTTATCAACATACCTGGGAGACCAGGATCTCCTTTGCGTCCAGGAGGACCTGAAAGAAATATTTAATGGATATTTTTCAGTAGTCAGTGCTCAGTGAGGAGCATAGCAGTATGGGATTGACAGGCTTGAGGTCTGGGCTGAAGATACCACCCTTTCAGAGGAAACTCAGAGTCCAAATCTACAAATTACAGGAGGGGAGACGATCCCAGAGCCCCATGTGGAACTGCAGAGGGGATCCGGGGATCTGCACAGGGCAGTGCTCCAGCTCCTCCAGGTGTGTCCAGATCCCCGGCCAGAGGGTCTGGAGCCAACTCCAACCATGGGCACTGGCTCATCACTAACAGACAGGAAGACCAAATCTTGCCCTAGTTACTGGTTCATCTGAACTAGGTTTTTGGCACAGCTTTGCCAGTGGTGCAGAGAAGCCAGGTGCAGTGGTGCAGAGGAGCCAGGTCTCTCCACTGCAGAGCTAGCATGGAGGAATGGAGCCATACCTGCAACCAGGGTGATGTTGCTCACCATCATCATCAGGTTTGCATTGCTGCTTTTGATTATGGTAATTTCCTCTTCTACGCTTCTCTTCCAGTTTTCTTCCTGTCCCAAGTACTCAGCAGAGCTTCTCTCCGAAATCAGACCGTTGGCAAAGGAGCTCTTCAGAATCTCTTCTGTATAGGAGGTATTTTGCTCCTGAAATTTCCATATCTCTCTCTCCATCTTAAACACTGAGGAAACAAAAAGCCCATACAGTGAATATTCCCTGTCCGGTCTGGCTGGGAAATGCCTGTTTGGCAGAGCAGTTCCTCAGCACCTGGGAGAACACCTGGGGATAAAGACCACCCCTGTTTGAACCAGGGAGGTGATTTTCGTGTGCCAGTCCTTGCTACAGCCAGGAGTGCAGCCGGGAGTGCTTTTGCGAATGCAAAGCACATGTCTGGGGTGGGGGAATAGTTTCCTGCAGCAGCTGCTTTGCCTCCCAGTGTGCGGAGGAGTCTCCGTGCTCCCTCAGAGGTTTCCGATCTGCGTGCTCATTCCTGCTTGCCCATGGCCCGAGAGCAACCAGCAAAGCTCTCTTTTGATGCCAAGCCCATGGTAAGGTTGTAGCATTACCTTTGTACACCAGCAGCCCCTGGCCGGCCGTCAGCAGCAGCAGGTAGATGCCAAGGGCCGTTGGAGCGCAGCATGTGGATGGCTTCCTCTGGCCTTGAGGCTCTAAAAAACAACAGAAGTAGGGTAGGCACCCTCCCACACACTTTCTCCCCTACAAACTCTGCTTGCTTCCAGCCTTTCAGGTTTGGCCACAATAAATTAGCAGTGTTTTCTAGCGATGGGGAGCAGAAAGACCCCTCTGTGAGTGCTCGATCCTGTCAAAAGGCAGGCTGCCTTCCTCTCCTCTGGGCTTTACACTGCAATTCACTTGGCTGTCTTTTCCTTAGCCAGTTTAACCAGCTCAATTCCATCAAGACTTAATCCAGCCTATAACAGGTATGAATGTGGTGGTTCTCCCCTCTCTGCATCAATAAACACCTTGTTTCCATTGCTTTTAGTTGTCCCAGGCTGCCATTCAGCATTCAGACTGCTCAAAGCAATGCCCTCTCCATCCAGAGTGCTGCATACCTGTGATTCTAACAGTGATGCATGTATGCATCAAAACTAATGAAAAATCAATAATAAACTGAACTGAAGAAAAAATGGAGACAAGTCATAACATGTAAAACAAATCATTATCAGCAAAGTGTAAAAGAAATAAACTGCTTTGTCAAATTTTGCCCTTCAGGAAGAAAAAAAGTATTTCTGAAGCATTAATAACTACTTCAGACACTCAGTAAGTTACCCTTAATTGAATTTTTTTTTCTTTTTCAAAGTAATGTAATCAGGAGTTTAAAGTCTTAGTTTTAAAAGAGTACAATGTTTTAATTGGTTTTACAATAGAATGGTTTAGTCAGCAATGAAATATTTATACTCAGCTAAAATTCATAAACGTACATTTTTTATTGGGTCTGGTGATTTTAGTATCTTAACTATTATGACATGAAAGTTTTACTCAAGAAAATTAGGCATTTTCTAAAACAGGAAAATAACTAATTTTTTTCTGATGATCAGCATCAGCTTTTGGCTAGAAAGGACATTTTGACAAACTTCCATTCTTAAATGGCAGTTAATTTACTAGCAAAATCACTGTAGAAAGTATTTAATATGCAATATTTCATTTTTATTTGTTGTTTTAGACCAGATAAAATCCATTTAATAAAAAGAAATCTTACCACTTATCTGAAAGGTTGTGGTAGAAGCTGAGGCAAACCCAATCTTGTCGGAAATACTGAGACTGTTCATATCACTCAAATTTTGATCTTCCCCGTATCTTTCTTTAATTTTCATGACAAATTTCTTGTAGCTAACCTAAAGACTTGTCCGATTATGGACAATAAAGAACTGAAGGGATTTCCTCTCTGTCTCCTGATTTGATATACTTTCTGATATGCATTTCCTATCTGCTCAGTTTTTATAGACTACTGAGAACTCTGATGTGGTAATTTGAACAGTTCCTCAAAAAATCCCACAGCTAAGAAATTCAGCTGTTCTCGTGTTCTCACTTGGAGTCCATGGAGCCTTGGGCAGGATCCTGAAAGTCTCAACCGGGAGTTATTCAACATCTCTGCTTTATAGCACTGTTAGGCATGAGATGGACATTTTGTTCCTAACACAAGTAAACCTCCACATGTAGTCAAGAAGATCTCATGTGCAGTGTTAGCTTGGAGATCCATCCCCAGAGAGGGGAAGTTAAGGACTTTGTAGTAATGAAACACACAGTAACTTGCACCAAGATGATACCTTAGTGATGGTGCATTACTGAAGTCAAAGAAGGGAAAGAATCAGGAGGAGCTGTAAAGACAAACAAATGATGGTGGGATGAGGGATGCTGAAGACTAAATGCTTTTGGGATGGTATGGAGAAGACAGCTGCAGCCTCCTTGCAGTCTCTCCAGCCCCTGCCTCCTCCCTGATCCATTTTTCACACCCAGGGACACAATTTCTACCTCTTCACTGTTTCTTTGCTCACATGCTGTAAAATTCACCCCTGCAGACCTTGCCACGGTATTTTGCGTTTTGGCATCTCTGTGTTACTTTTGATTTTGATTTCGCAAAGCAAAGTGACTCACCCAAATCCACAGGCAGGAGCTGTTGGTAGGTACTGGGAAGAGCCCTCCTCATCCATGCTGCCACCACCATGTGCTGCCCTCTTCGAGGTGCAGGGCAGTCTCTGGCACACAGTTTGCTCCTGGGCTGCAGGTCTGTGTTCATCTCTGAGGCTGCTGCATCCTCACTGCTTTGCTTGGCCATGGAGTAAAGTGTGGCCTAAGCTTCAGGTAGAGGTGAACTGGAAATCCACACCCTGTGTGCAAAGTGAAGCCCTCTGTCCTGCACCTGATGTACAAACCTCTGAAAGACCTAAACCAAAAATATGTGGGGATTTTTAAATCTACTTCTGTGTTCTCCTTTTAAATGTGCTTGTGCAGCTGTGAACTGGTTTGTCACCAGCAGGGAGGAAGAGAAATCCTCCATTATCATATATTCTGCTACACTCCATAGGAATTAGGATAATTTGCTTCCTTGTGAAGGGCTCAGATATCCCTTTGAACTAGGGTGACTTCAGAGGTTATCACCGATCAGGTGAGCCACAGCAATGACCTGTGCATCCTCTACCTTCATGGCATCACCTCCTCACTGGGGTAAGGGCTTGTATCCAGCCCATTTCTAATGGTTTGTGGGATACAGCTGAGCACTCTGCACAAGTCTGAAGCCATCTACTCTTGCTGGCCCAGGTGATGAGTTAGGAATGACTGCACTTGTGTTGCCAAGTGGATGTTTATAGCGATGGATGTGATTCAGGTGCACCCAGGGAGCACATTTACAGCAGAGAGGCTTTTAACAGTACTTCTAGTCAAATCCATTTTACTTCAAAGCATTAAAAATAAGCTGGCAACTGTAGTTCTCAAAAGCCCTCCTAAAGACAAAAGGTGCAATAAGATCTTTGTGCTGTCCTACCCTGAGAAAGAAGTTCAAGGATAAGTTTTTGCACCACTGATGGTCATGCTGTGGCCGTGCCACTCTCAATGACTTGGATGGCATGGGTGCAAAGCAGGGGTAGACACCCTTGATTCTGACAGCCCTGATCTTCACTGCTTCAGTGTTCAACATACAGTGCTCCTTGGGGGAGAAAGTCATGATCCCTCTGACTGCAGTTGCCTACCCAGCTGGTCAAACCTTTTTTTCTAGCTGATGTAGCCTCATGCAACTCTGTGAGCTGCCACATTTCCATTGCTCAGGTGATCATCTGGCTGCCTGGGAGCGCTGTGGTGTGTTTCTATCTGGGTGTCAGTCTCTGCACACAGGTAGCAGATTTCCCAGTGCACATGGGGATCTCAGTCACACTGTGGATGCCAGAGATAATGTACCAGAATGCTGGCTCAGCCTTTGCATGTGCTCCCTGCTCCTGCTTCCTACTCTGTTTTCTTGATGCCTTTCATTTCTCACTGCACCATCACTGGCTGCAGCAATGGGTCTCTGATTTTGCAATCAGGGTTACTAAATCAGGAAAGAAAAAAAGAAAAGAAACTGCTGATTCAGTGTAATCTCCCTAGGTTGATGTTTTGCTGAAACAATGGGATTATTAATAGAATAAGTTTCCAGCACATTATGGGACACGTCTGCTGGGCCATCAGCCTTATCCTTTGGGCTCTCTCAGAGGAAGCCCCAGTCCCTCTCCTGCATCCCCTGACATGTTCTGCTGACATTCAAGGAAGAGCTTGAAGTCTTCTGGCTCATCCCTTCCCTTCCTGTACTCTGATATCAGTGCCTCGTGACAGGCAGAAGGTGCTCCCCATGCTTTCCCTGTAAATGTGCACCACATATAAACCAAGTTTCATAAACAGATGCCTCAAAGTCACGGGCCTGGGGGGAACTGCTGGTGGAATGAATAGGAAGTGGCCTGAAAGTGACTGGTGGAGGGAAAAGTCCCCAGCCATACCCACTACCTTTCTCATGTCCTTCCACCACTGTTGTCTGCTGTGAGCATTTGCCACCATCAAGAGCTCATGACAGAGCAAAGAGATGTAACACAAAACTCCAACCTGGCAACAGCCAAACATGGTGGTTCCCAGCAGTGGTACTGCCAGGGTACTCAGGCAGATGTCAGCCTCCTCAGGATAACCATTTATCCTGAAAGAGCTGAAGTTGTGATTTGCTGAAGACACCCAAGCTGAGAGATGTTTCTCCATTTGTCCATAAGAAGGTAATTTTTCCAGACTCATCTATTTGATTGCAGACTGTCTTGGGCATAAATATGTAGAATTCAGAAGGCTTTCATGCCCCTCCCAGGATGAGGAAAAGAGGAGATGATGGCACAAACAGGTCCTATATCAGATAAACTGAGACAGGAATCTCCACTATTTCTGCTGTTATCTCTAAACTGAAGTGAGAGTGGCAGCCAGAAAAGGTGACAGTCTATTCCTTATCACAACATCTGCACTCCTGTTTCTGCAGATGTGCTCCAGACCAAAAAATAATCCTGCCCACAGAGCACACTGCTCTTCCACAGAAAAAAACAAGTAGTTGTGCTTTGACTTGTGACACAGCCCATACATGCCCACTGCAAAGCCAGCAGTGATCAGAGCTGTACAGTTGACTCCCTCAAAGGCAGAGAGACCCTGCACAGAGACCTTGAAAAATTAGAGGGCTGGGCAATCACCAACCATATGAAGTTCAACAAGGGGAAGTGACAGATTCTGCACCTAGGATGGGGCAACCTTGGATGTTCATACAGACTGGGTAATGAGATGCTGGAAAGCAGTGCCAGGAAAGGAACCTGGGGGTCCTGGTTGATGGCAAGTTGTATCTGAGTCAGCAGTGCCCTGGCAGTCAGGAGAACCAGCCATGTCCTGGGGGGCATCAGGCAAAGTATTGCCATCTGGTTGATGGAGGGGATTGTCCCACTCTAATCTGCACTGGTGTGGCCTCACCTTGAATGTTGTGACAGTTTTGGGCACCACAGTATAAGAAAGATATTAAGCTATTAGGGAGCATCCAAAGAAGGGCAATGAAGATGGTGAAGGGCCTTCCCCCCACTCCTCCCATTTTACCTGATTTTTCAGCCTTTTTCTTTTTGAAATGAATAAGATTGTTGAATTTTGAAATATGATCTCTTGTGGTAGATTGACCACAGCCATTAGACAAACACTCACCCAGCTGTTCTTTCAGTTTTCCTTCCTGAAGGATGTGGAGAAGGTAGCAGGAAGGTGAGAAGACTCATGGGTCAATGTAACAACAGTTTAATATGGAAAGCAAAAGATGCACTTGCAAGCAAAGCAGAAAGAGGAATTCATTCTCTACTTCCCATCAGCAGGAAGATAGGCAACTGCTTCCTGGGAATCAGGGTCTCAGCACGTGTGATGGTTGTTTGGGCTGACAAATGTATGAATGAAAAACTTCCTCCTTCTTTCCCTGAAATTCTGTCACTGAGCTTGACGTCACACAGTGCAGAATATCCATGGGGTCTCTTCGGGTCAGCAGCCCCTTCTGTGTTCCCTCACAGTCTCTTGCCCAACCCCGGCCTGCTCCCAGCCTTGACATTGTGCAAGCTCTGCTCACAATAGCCAAAACGTCAGAGTGTATTGACAGTGGTTTAGCCCCAAATCCAAAGCACACCACCATACTGTGTCTAGCTGCTGTGAGAATGTTACCTTCATCCCAGTCAGACCCAGTGCAGCTTTCCAGTATGACAGTGTTTATGCTAAAATGCCTTATTCTCCCTGAGGAAGAACCAAGGACTTTGATGCCCATGGACATCAGGAGGCACTACTGAATTCAGGGGATGCCAAAGGAGGATGTGAATGATCTGCACACCAGCAGCTCATGGAGATACCAGATCTGGAGTCTCCCTTGTGGGTATCCCACTGACTGCCCAGCTCAGCCCTGGTCAGCACCTCCTGAAAAAAAGCGTATCTAGCTCTAAGGGCAAGAAATGGTGCATTACATGGAGAGTTTCGATGCAGAAGAGAGATTGAGGCCAAAAGACAAATTCTAATGCCAGGGCATTAAAACAAACCTTGAGCCTCTACTCATATGGAAGCAGGGGCCTTGTTGTGAAGCCCCCCATGATCCTGAATGGCCAGACCTGTGCTCAGGGGGTCTGGCTGCTGCAGTAGCACCTGGGCACTCCTGGGACTTTGGAGAAGCACTTGTGCTAAAGCAATAAAATCCGCAGCACTGCCTGGCTGATATTTCTCCTTTCTAGCTTGATGTGTTGCTTGGCTTTGTTGTAGAGATTGAAACCAGATTTTCTTTCCCTTCTATGAGTTATGTTAATTCGTGTTTCATCAGAGCTTGCCTTCTCTCCTCCTTTTTTTTTTCCCCTTTAGGCTGGATCCAGCTGCACCATGAATTCAAGGAACCACCTGCAA